AGCTGTGTATGCCCACTCAAGGCATGGGTGAGCACCTGGGAGCTCCACACCCAACAGCCCTGCCCTGGGGAGCAGAGGGGAGATGAGCAGTTGCAAGGAAGAGATGGAAACAAGGGAACAAGGGGCTAACTGAGCAGAGTTGGGTTGGGGGATGCTATGGGGTGCAGCACCACATGGGAGGTGTGGGGAGGAGCGCAGCCCCTTCTAGAAAAGCTGCTCATAAACTAGAAACAGCCCATCAACCTTACCAAGGCCCAACAGCAAGGCAAGCTGGTTTCTGCACCACTCTTGTGCCCACTCACATTGCCTTCAAGCCTAAACTCTGGCAAATTTGGGCTTGTCCTTTTGTGAGACAGGCTCATGGCTGTGGCAGAGGACTGAAGCAGCCCTTTGCCAGGGTCCCTGAAGTTCCTGGCCCTGACCCACTCCCCACCATAGAAAATCAAACATCCCCTTTAAGACCAGAAGAAATCCCCACCCTCCAGCCCATCTCACAGCCTTGTCTGAAGTACCTCTCACATTGTGCCCAGATGTTTAATCTCTGGAAGCACTTGAACACAATTTTAGAAAGAGCTGTGGTGCTCTGCTGCAAGCTCTGCAGGGCCAGGGAATTTGCTTTGCTCCTGAGTGACTTCTGCTGCCACTTTGCTCGAAAAGAAGTTAGCGCAGCAGGCAGAGTGACATTCAAGGCCTGTGTGAGAGCTGAGCCTCTCTGTCCCCAGGACAGAGCTAAAATGCTTCATGCAGAGCTTCTCCTGTGCCCCCAGCCATCACAGTTGGTGCCCTTTCAGGGAGAGGGAAACGCTTCCCAAAGACAGGCTGCCACATTCAGGCGCTCACTGAGTGCCCCTTTCTGCCCATATATCCACTCATGATGCCAAGTGTACCTGGGCTTTTAGTAGATTATAAACAAGCCTGTTATGCCAGAAGTAGAAGCACACAAACAGAGAGCAGCAAACATATTACCTACACTGCCGGAATGGGTGTTGCATCCCATTAGTCCTACTGCAAAAGTGCACAAAGTGCTGGAATAAATGATGCTGGAGGAAAGGGCACTGAAAGATGGGGAGGAGAAATAGAAGGGTAAAATGCAACAGAAATCTCCCATGGATAAATCACAGTACTCTTCCCCAGAAGAGAGAATTACCTTTTTAAAATGGGAACACAGATTAAATGTAACAGGCTGCAACACAGGCTGCAAGTACCTATTCAGGCAGAAATTACTATGAGAATTGTAAGAAGGCTCACAGGGAGACAATAGCACATTCCAATGGAAGGATCATTAATGCTCTGGAAAAGGTTACTAATAGAGTTCCTTAAAGATCAGCCTAGAGATACATTTTATTTAAAGGTTTACATTCGTGATCTTGGCTCAGAAAACATGAGTTTAAGAAAATGCACTGGTGAGAAACTTGGGACAAATTTTGAACCGGGCAAGGGACTAAGTTCTACAGGAGAAGAATCAGGGGATCCAAAGATCAACACAAGCACCACAAGCTGGCCTAAGATCGTATTAGGAACTAAGAGCAAAAATTGGTAGTCTAAGCAGCTGAAAACACCATGAGAAAAATATCTGGCTTTTAGGGAACCCCGCAATGACTGCAACAAAACAAATGCAACCTGACAAGTCTTCACAGCAGAGAGTGTCCATCAGACCACCAGCACCACTGGAAAAGGCACTAGAAGGATGACCCAGAAGCAATGCCCTACTCTGGTCCCTCACTGGCAGGAGGGTGATTTTGAACTAGGAACAGGTCCAGGCTGTGATAATGAGGATAATCAGGTAAATGTAAAAGCTGCCTAGTGAGATAAGACTGAAAGGGTATAATTTATTCAGACTATTGCCAGGAAGGCTGCCACGGGGAAACAGCTGCTACACCAAGGAGGAAACAAGCTCACTCTGCCAAAACGCAACAGGAGCAGAGGACACAGGACCTGGTACTAAAGGTGGCTGTGAGTGACCTGGGCAGAAAATCAGGGACAGATGTGGAGTCCCAGAGGGCCCGTGCTGCAGGAGAGAGCCTGGATCTGGGTGCATTGCCCTGTGGACTTCACTCTGACAGCAGCAGGCTGACCCCACAGCCCCCTGTCCATACGAGCCTCCAGCCTGCTTTTCCTGCAAAGCCACATCTGGAGACCGTGCCCACTTTGGGGAATGTTTCCATAAGACAATTTGACCAAGGGGTACAGGAAAGCCTCTCATCCCCACACCACAGTGTTGCAATATCACACATCCAAACTGGCAGGAAGCAGGTCCTGCCCTGTCCCATGGAGGAACAAAGTCCCAGGGGTTTGCAGGCAGCTGCCCTAATGTGCAGAGGTGTGAACTGCCAAGAGTTCAGGTCCATCTGGACTCCTCTTCAGGGACGGGGACACCTCTGTCCCCTTCATTTGGGGACTCCTGCTCCTCCCTACTACAGCTCAGCCCAGTGGCTCCATTTCTCGCTTGGAAATTCTTTCTACTCCCTCACCAAGGGGCGGGGGCGGAAAGGTGGAAAGTGCCCATTTCTTGTCCTGAGCTAATCAGAAAAAGTAATAAGAAACAAAACTACTTCTGGCCAGGTCTTCAGTGCAGGGCTGCTCTGTGGCACTGCCAGCACCATGGCAGGTGCTGAACATGCTGATGTGCCCAGAGCTGGGACACACGTGGAGCTGGGACCCACCAGAGCCCATGAGAGCTGGTGGCAGGAACAGGTTGGTGAAGTGTGGTGAAGCAGCCACGTAGGAGGCTGCAATCCACCCCCAGCATTTTATGTGTTCTACTCCTCCTATAATTTACCCTGCCATTTCCACATGTTGAAAGCAGTGAAAAAACATCCCTTTCACTTGGAAATACCCTTCTCTGAGAACAACCTGTTCTCGTCGTTGCCATCACCGAGCAGGCAGCGCTCAGCTTGTTCCACACTCCTTTTGTGCCTGAACAAAGAGCTCTCCATGGCAAGAGCCGGCGCTGCAGCAGGAGGCGAGAACAGCTCCGCACGCTGAGAGCGCCGCATCCTTCTCCCCACAGCCTTAATCCCAGCGCCCAGATTCAGAGGACTCCCTGTCTAGCAGTGAGTTTGCTCTGCTCAGCAGAAGGCTTCCCACAGGCTAGTTCATCACTTGTCTTTTTTTTTTTTTTTTTTCCCCTCAATTCCTTAAGAAGCAGCAGGGCTGCAGGTATCAGCTCTAATCTCACTGCTGTACAGCTCCTGGCAATCACTGCTTATTTACTAAGCATGGAGTCTCCCCAGTGTAACCCCCACCCTTGGTGCCTATACCTTTAACCTTGAATCAAAGACATAAAATGTCTCCAGAGTATTTCAGCCCCCTCCACATTGTTACCTGGTTCTTACAGTGAGAGTTTAACTTTATAATCTCACCTCTGTCCTCTGCCAAGGCTGGACCTTTTCCATTCCTGGAGTTTCTTCTGTTTGATCCACCTCTGCAGCCTGTTGTGCCCACTGAAGAATCAGCTCTACCTCCCTGCACAAGCCTGTGCACCACGAGGGAGGGCTTCACTGCTGTTCCATGGGCTGCATAGAGCTGGATCCAGCACCACCGACAGGGACCAGCACAGCTGCCCCCACCAGCACATCAGGGAGGATGAGGAGACCCATCACCTCACCAGGGAATTGCATAGGGAGAGACCACTGCTGTGGCACAGGCAGCTCATGAGGTCCTAGCACAGGCAGTTGGGTCCTCAGCCTGCTCCAAGCCACCTCTCTCCTGTCCCTTCAGTGCCTCAGTTTCCCTTCAGACACCTTCCCAACGTGGGTGTAACTTGCAGTTGCACAGTAACTGAGGCCCCTTTGAATCTGGTCGCAGCCTGGCCCTGGAGACCACTGTAATCAGCAGCTAAAAGCTCTTTTGGAGGTTAGAGGGGTTTGCTGTGTTGTTTCTGCTCTTGAAAAATACAGCTTTGTTATTTGCATCCAGAGAGAAAATAGTAATAAAAAGTCAGCCTACATGTTCTGTATTCTGTGTTCCTGTCCCACAGCAGGACTAGCTCCATGCGAATTCCCCTTGAACAGCAAACTTCCATACTGCCCTTCAGCCTAATCAGTCCCATTGCCAGCAGCTGTCAGCACCCTTTCCAGCCACTTCCACCCCAGGACATTGCACCACTGACAAATGGATCCCTCTTTTACTCAGCAAAGCAAGGATTTCCTCTCCAGACTGCAGGAGCCAGTGTGGTTCCTGGCAGCAGGGACCAACAGCATGGGCTGCTGCAAAGTGCAGATACAAAGACAAAGTTTAATGGGACTTACAGCCACAGCTGAGCTGCCAAAATTATGTAATTGGTGACTGATTTTGCTAGACAGCATAAGAAAAGCACAGCTGCTTTCTCATGTCCTCACAGTCTTTGTTTTTGTGCCTCTTGGTGCCTCTAAAATCCCTGCCCTTCTCTCAACATTCCAAGGTTACGTGGGCACCCCTGGGGCTGGGGGAGACCATCTGGCACAGATGTGTGTGCCTGACTGCCCAGGGACTTTCCAACTCAGGTTTAAGTGGGCTGGAGCATCCAGGGAGGTGCAGAAGCCCTCTTCTGGAGGGTTTTGAGGGGCAGCTGAAAGGACTTCTGACCATTGCAGCTGTGAGTTGTTTTCTTTGCAGATTGTCCTCAGGAGGTGGCAAAGCTCTGTCCCTGCTGGAGCACTGCTGACCACTGTCACCAAGCAAGCATGCAGAGAACCTGAGACCCTCCAGGACCTGACCCCAAGGTCATTCAGAGAAAAGGAGAAAGCAGGAGAGGAAACAGGAGCAGCTGAGACCCATGAGCTGCTGCAGGGGATCAGCTCCAGCACTGAGCTCCAAAATAGAGCCAATGGGCACAAGCAAGTCACAGGGCCACATCACTCCTAGTGTACAAGGCTGAACACATGAAGTGACTCCTCAATGTTTTCCAAGGTAGGCCCAAGGTCACTTTGGAAAGGTTTCTAGGGCTGCCTGGTAGACACTTGTGCCAAGTAGCTTTGGAGCTGGTGAGAGCAGGCCTGCTCCATCCATGCAACTGCACTATGGATCCGTGTTACAACCATACAAGCTCTCAAAAACCCCTGGACCAACCCCTGCAGCTGCTGATTGGGACCTGCCTTGTCCTCCTGATCGTGGTCACTCTGTGCGGTAACATCATCGTCTGTCTGGCCGTCACCCGTGACCACCGGCTCCGCAGCTTGACCAACTGCATCATCGTCTCCTTGGCCATCACCGACCTGCTGCTGGCCCTCCTGGTGCTGCCCTTCTCTGCCTTCTATGAGCTCTCCAAAGAGTGGCCCTTCGGCAGCACTTTTTGCAACATCTACACCAGCCTGGACGTCATGCTGTGCACAGCTTCCATCCTCAACCTCTTCATGATCAGCCTGGACCGCTACTTTGCCGTCACCGCCCCTCTCCGCTACAACCAGCTGGTCACTCCCTCTCGAGTGGCCGTGGGTTTGGTTGTTATTTGGGCAGTTTCACTGATGGTCTCCTTCCTACCCATCCACCTGGGCTGGAACACCAATGGGACAAGAGTGCAAAACACAGTCTCCAACTGCAGCAAGGAATGCAAGCTGGAGGTGAACCCTCTGTACGGGCTAGTGGACGCCTTGCTCACGTTCTACATCCCCTTGGTCATCATGTGCATCACCTACTACCGGATATTCAAGATAGCAAGGGAGCAAGCCAAGAGGATAAACCACACGTGGTGCAGCAGCAGCAATGGCCCCGTGCCTCCCATGGTGAAAGAGCACAAAGCCACTGTGACACTGGCAGTGGTGATGGGAGCCTTCATTGTGTGCTGGTTCCCCTATTTCACAGTGTTCATATACCGGGGAATGTGGGGGGACAGCAAGGTGAAAGGCACACCCATGTCCATTGTCCTCTGGCTGGGCTATGCCAACTCAGCCCTGAACCCCATCCTCTATGGGACACTCAACAGGGATTTCCGACTGGCCTACCAGAACTTGCTGCACTGCTGCAGGACTGGAAGCCCCAGAAGCTCCCACCTGCCTCCCCTCCAGAAGGCCCATTCCCGGGAAAAGAAATGCAGGCAGGAGGGTAAACCCCTGAAACTGGAGATGAGGAACGGGAAGGGGATTTTGCTGACTGACAGAGCCCTCAAGAGGTAAGTCTTCTTACATGCAGGGCTTTGATGGTAGGTCCATCCTCAGAGGCTGAAGCAGAGTGGGGACCCCACGTTGTCCATGAGCTTTTAAGCAACAAGCTGATGCCCCAGCAGGAGATCATTGCCCAGGAAACTCTTATTCTTTGCAGCCATTCAGAAGTTCATCGCCACCAGTAGTGACCCAGCTCACATCCCTCTGTGCTGGCAACACAAAACCAGCTACTCCAGCTTCATGTGTGGCTGGCCACCCCTACAACAACCCGCTCACTGGCAGCACAAAACATCCTTGGCTTTGCTGGGTCATGGGGGCCATTTTGCCACCAGAATTTGCTGGACAAAATGAGGGGCAGCTGCTCCCAAAAACCAGCTGTGTCCCCCTCTCTAGTGGTGGGCAGCCAGCAAAGCCTGGGCACACCACAGAGCAGTGAGAGGCTCAGGAAAGGTGACAGGGAGGAGAACAGGATGTTAGCTCTGGGGCAGAGTCAGGGCACCCACCACCAGGCTGGGAATTTCCCAGGAGCCACGATCTGTGTCCACAGCTCCCTGCAGAGCAGCTCTGCAGCCTCCCTTCCCAGCCGAGCCAGGCACCCTCAGCGCTGCTGCTTTACATCAGCAGAGAATTCAGCCAACAGCAAATTCCATTCCCATCTCTGGAAAGGAGCAAAAAGAGCCAAAATTAGGTTGGCAAATGCTTTTAGAAATACGAATACCCATGTAAAGCTAGAGCCAAAGACTCCAAAAAATCCCTCAGCATCACCCCAAGCACGTCCCAGGGGTCAGTTCCCTCGGAGGGGTGTGGGTGCAGCGAGGGAAGAGGATGGGTGCAAGGTGAGTGAACTTTGTGCCAGGCTGTGGCACCAGTCCCCTCCCTGGGCACCTGTGTCCCCACAGGGCTGAGCCACCTGCCCACTGCCATGCCCCAAGGCATTCACACACCTGAGCATCAGAACAGAGCAGTGTGCTGTCTGCCACGGTGCAGACTGCTACTCCCCAGACTTTAATCTGACTTCTAGGCAGTGCCTGATAAGCAGACCAGAAACTTTCCACCCAGTAGATAAGGTGTCCTTTGACTCCCAGTTTCCAGCGTGCCAGCAAAGAAGCCACACTCATGCTCTCCTGCAGCATATGCCCTTGATCCTGTCCCAGAAACACAGTCTCAAGACACCAAAAAGAGAAGGTAGGGAGGTGAACCAAAGGGCAGAGGCATTTGAAGCTCTCAGCCAGCATCGTGCCTGCCCTGGGGATCAGATGTGACATTACACAGGAGACACAGAGGAATGGATGAGCACAAATACAAGACTGAAGCTCCTGGGTTTGCCTTTTCAGCTTCCCAGGAGCTAATAAAGAGTGCAAAGTTACAGCATTTCGTAAATGTAGTTGCAGGTGTGTACAAAAGGGTGGAGAGGAAGTGTCTGGTGTGGCAGACGTGTTTGTCCAAACACAGAGAGACTGAGGCAGAGATGTGCTCTTTACTCACACAGAAGTGCAGCTCCTGAGCAAACTGGGAACTTGTGCTCTGGGACTCTGCAGCCAGCCAGGGAGAACTGGTGATGGGAAACAGGCTGGTGGCACTTCCTTACACAGCTGAGAGGGAGAAGCAAAGGAGAAAGTTGATAATATTTCCAAGTGCTGCCTTACCACAAAGGAAGAATAATGAAATGACAGGAAAGAGAAGAGGAAGAAAAATGGGTTTCTTTTCCCCAAGCAGAAGTCAGGGTCACTGGCCTGCTGGCTTTCCCTCTTCTAACTTTCCCAGATAGACAAGGTCATAGAATCATAGAATGTCTTGGGTTGGAAGGGACCTCTAAAGGTCTTTTAGTCCAACCCCCTACAGTAAGCAAGAACATCTTGCTCAGTGCCCCATCAAGCCTGACCTTGAATGTCTCCAGGGATGGGGCCCCCACCACCTCTCTAGGCAATGTGTTCCAGTATCCACCACCCTCATATTAAAAAACTTTTTCTTCATGTCCAACCTAAACCTACCCTTCTCTAGCCTGAAACCATGACCCCTGTCCTACTATTACACACCCTTGTGCACAGCTCTTCCCCAGCCTTCTTATAGGCCCCTTTCAGGTATTGGAAGGTCACTCACTGTGAGGTCTCCCCAGAGTCTTCTCTTCTTCAGGCTGAACAGCCCCAGCTCCCTCAGCCTGTCTTCATAAGAGAGGTGCTCCAGCCCTCTGATCATTCTCATTGGCTTCCTCTGGACACAATCCACTAGGTCCACAGAGGGCCCGATCCTGCTACAGAAGTTGCACCCAAAGCCCACGTTGGGGTCAGCAGCAACCAGGGAACCTCCATCCCCAAACTCTCAGTGTGCAGGTGCCCATTATCAGCAGGGCTTGGCAAAGGCCCCAGCAAAGGCCCCAGCACAGGCACCCAGTACATGGGTCCAAGCTGCCCTCACTTCTGGGTGGTGAAGCCCCTCCATCACTAAAATCAGCCCAAATGATTCTTCCAGGTGGGTTTGCTCCCAAGGGTGAAGGAGATGGGAGGGAAAAGGGTGAGTGGCAGCCAGTGCTGTAACTGTGCAGTTACACATGAGACACAGGAATTGTGCAGAAGCAAGAGAGGAAGACTCAAGCACAGGTATGTTTCTTGATGTCTCTAAACTCAGAGATCTCCTCCCACCCTACACAGCACCACTGCTGTGGTTTCTGCTTGCATTCAGCTAAGAGTTGCTCAAGCACCAAATGATCAGCTGTTACTTCTCGGAAGTTTTTCTTTTACTTCCCTTCCTTGCAGAGAAATGATGAACCAAGGATCACATGGGGCCCCTTCCAATTCTTTTTTCCATTATCAGATGTATGAACATTTCTTGTCTGCAGATGACCTGGATCAACTAATACCATACAGGACAGGAGGGAACAGGGTTTACCTGTACACCAAAAGCCTGGCAGCCAATTTCACCCCAAGCACAGAGCTTGTTTCCTCTCCCCTTTCCCTTCTGCATAGTCTTCCCAGTTGTCTGCCCTCATCACATTAACAGAAAAAGAACAGCACGAAGCACTCCAGAAACTCATAACTCCTGAAATAAGAAGGACCAGAGCTCAGAAGATCTCAGCTCAGAGCAGCTCCACAAGGTCACTCAAGGGGAAGCATGACCAATAGTATTTTGAACTGTTGCCCTTAATAACAATGTTCTTGCCTGTTATGAGGCATAGAGCAAAAAAGGCCAGCAAATGATGATGGGAATACTGAAGAACTGCAGCTGCTCTCAAGGCATCAGGAGCAGGGACAGGGGGTCAGAGTCATAGCTGCATTGGAAATCAAAAGGCCATGGGAGCACCACAGCTCTTAAAGGGCTGGAGGTATTTCCATGGGCAAGGACCAGGTAGGGGAAGAGAGTACAGGACCAAGCAGGGATGCAAGGGAGGACAGTCACTTCTGCCTGCCCACCAGGCACCAAAGAGGCAAGACAATGCACACAAAGCCAGTATAGGAAAGCACTGCTTGTACACACAACACCTGATGGACCTCAGGAACCTGCTTCTACTGCAGAGGGACACGACTCTGAAGAGGAGTGTGCCAAGCACCAGCCATTGCTGTAGGTTGAGACCAGTCCTTGAGGTCCAGAGAGATTAAAAGCCTGAGGGAAGGAGTGCTCAGCACATACAGGGCTGTATCAGGCAGAAAATGGCAGAGCTGAGCAAGCAGCTCTGGATCAGCCTCTTGCACACAGCAGCTGTGCTCAGGACAGCTTGGGGCAGGCCTGTGGCTGCAAAACATGGGCAGGGAGAAGTCAGTTCCTGTAGGAAAGGACCACTGCCCCAGCTGCCAGAAACCAGGAAGGCAGAATGTGGTGCCCCACAGAGCAAAGCCAGACTCAACCAGGCTCACAGTGACCAACTAATCTCTTATTTTTCTCTCTTTTCTTTGTCTTCATGTGCAATTTAACTCTTTTCAGTGCCAGAGCTTTCCCATGAGTCTCAGCCAGCCCACTGCCCTAAGACCTACATATCCCAGCCTTCAAATCCTGGCTGCCCTCCTCCAAAATCCTGCAAGGTTGAAAGGACAACACTCAGTTTTCCTTAGGAAGAAACTTAGTGGCAGAGGTGAAGGTCACATGGTGAGTATGGGACCATTGTCACTGGGTGCAAACAAGGGGAGCGGGCAGCTCTACCTGCTATGACATCTATTGCATTTTCCCTGGTCCAGTCATCTCATCCTGACAGTTCTTGGTGCAGAGGGTGATACCATCAGAAGTGCATCCTCACTACTCTCTCCAGTACCATTTGCTCTCCAAGCCCAGCCCCAAAGCCAGGGCAGGTGCAGAGTCATGGACTCCTCAGCTGCCCTGGAGGTGTGAGCTTACACAGCCACCCTGCAATGAAGCCTGGAAGATGCTCACATCCTGCCTGCCCCTCCACGCACTGCAGAGGCAGCTGTATTCAGACTGCAGACTTCCAGCATACTTCATTTTCATGCAAGCCTACATCAGCTTCACATAAATTTCAGGCAGCTTTCACAGGGATGCTGGCAGGGCTGTGAGGGTGAGGGCCTGATGCTGCATGGGGCATTGCTGCTCCTTACCAGTGGTGCAGAGCTGGAAGATGTGGTGCCATGCATGGGGATGCCTCTCAGCTCCAGAGCCACTTTGTGCAACCCTTCTCAAGAACAGCCAGGCAAGGTCACCCTGACCTCCAACACTGCATGCTGATAACCTGGGCTGTCCTGTATTGACTCTGCCCTGGGGGAAAAGATATGGTCACCTGCGTGCTGGAAGCTGGGTACACTTGTCCCTGCTGCACACAGAGCACTGCTAACCTTTACCCAAGGTCATGGTGCTGCCTGCCCACACGTGCAGTCAAGAGGGAGCTGAGGCTGTTGCAGGAAACTGCAGGACCCCCACCCCCTGGGGCACAGCATCAGCCCACACGTCTCCAAGGGACTGCCCATGAACCACCCTGGAAATGCAATTGCCTGTCAACAGGAGAAGCAGAGGCTTGAAAAGCAAGGTGCCAGAAGCAGGAGAGGGCAGCAAGATCCCCTGGACCCCAGCCT